AGAAAGAAAGAAAGAAAGAAAGAAAGAAAGAAAGAAAGAAAGAAAGAAAGAAAGAAAGAAAGAAAGCTGATGAACATCTGAACCTTCATGAAGAGGTTGATGAGCTGAAGAGTTTTGGGGGGGCTTCTAAACTGTGTGGTCCACTGAGTTCAGCCCTCCACCAGGAGCAATCTGACCCCTGCTCAGCAGCATGCATGCTGAGCAGGAAAGAACAAAAAAAGCATATGGTGGGCTCATCTTCTGGCCCTGGCTCCACCTGCTACTGGTGTTAACTCTGCCCAACATGACTCTCTACAGCCCTTAATAGACCCTAAAGAAATGCCGCCCTTTTACCACTCCATCTTCTAGGTTGCACTTACTAAGGGCAATGGAATTTACTTCCAAATAAACATACATAACATTCACTTGTGAATGTTTTTATGGCAGGATAGGCCATAGAAAAGGGTCATTTTTTCAGTGTTATCTACATTCTACACATAGGAGGTTTTGAATTTAAATTACCCCTATGGGAAGGATGCATTTAATGTACCTTGTTAAGTCCTAAACTTACCTAATCAAATGTGAATCTCTCTGTGTTTACTTAAGTTTACTTCTTAGTAGCTATACTTAGCATTGTAACTTTATCCATTGTACCACAGCTCTAATCATTTACAACTCACAATATAAACAACATTGCAATTGTCTGCATACCCCCATACACATGTACACGAAGTCAAAGTGCAGACCGACTATCCAAAGTCATACTCCTCCTTGAGACAACAGTGCAAAAATAACAGATGTAAACATATCCTATATCTATCTGCTTGTTGACCTTTTATTAAGCTCCAAATCAGCTGCTTTGGGTAGTTACCTTTTTCTGCCTCACATTAGCGCCAGCTCTGGATTTGAGTAATGTGTTACAATTAATCAAACCGAGATACAATAAATAGCCCTGAATAATGAAGTGAATTTCTAAGGGAATCCATTAAAGGGGCTTCTACTTTGAGAAGCAGGGGAAAAGAGGGAGCTGCATTTTAACACCTTGTTTTTATTATCCTTACACATCAAACCTCAGCCCCGAATTCTCCATTTCTTACCAGGGGAGAGTTGCATTTCAAAAGGACCGAGAACAATATATCCAGCTCACACCTCAATTCAAATTCTGCAATGACCTGTCAATGAGTGTCTTTTGCCACTTAGCAGTTGGCACCCTGGGGAAGTCTCAAGGTAGTGGATAGGGCTAGACTTCCTGCTGCCTTTCCTGGAGATGCACCAGCATGGAGAAGGCAAATAGCAAAGTAGTTATCAGGGCTGCCCCCTCCCTTCCTGCCAAGGGCAGCAAGCCAGGGTATTTTTCCATTGGGGAAAGGGAACAGGGCAGGATCAATCAGACTACTCCAAAGAAGGAGAATATAGCTCAGGATTGAAATGAAGGGGGGGAACAGGGCAGGATCAATCAGACTACTCCAATGAAGGAGAATATAGCTCAGGATTGAAATGAGGGGCTCCTTGGTGCTCTCTGAGCTTGGCTGTTTTGTTGTTGCAGACGTTTCATCACCCAAACCAGGTAACATCATCAGCGCTGATGATGTTACCTAGTTTGGGTAATGAAACAGCTGCAGGAAGACAACCAAGCTCAGAGAGCACCAAGGACCCCTCAATCAGAAGGCTTTCAAAAAAAAGGTATTTCCCAGTAAGGCAGGTACTCAGGTGAGATTGTAATTGGTTTTTGGGCTAGATTAACCATTCCAGAAGTAGAAAGAAGGGAGTTCAAAAAAAAAGATTAGGTTTATTAGTTTCATTCCTGGGCATTGCACTTTGTCACCCCCTTTTTATCTTCTTGCTCCAATTTTGCCAAAGCAGGACTTCTCAGAGCGAAGTCTTCTCCTTCTGACACAAGAACAATTCCCAAGTTGCTCAACAATGCCCCTGCTAGCTGGAAATTCTGGTAGTTGAGGTCCACTAATCTGAAGGGGGTTAACAGGTTGGGAGAAAGTGACTCAGCTACTCAGAATATACTCTGATGCCAACCTTTCTTTCATAGTCTGATGACCCCATACTTCACCTGAGGCAACACCAGAGACAATGAATCAGGGGATTCCTCAGTGCCAGTTTTTGTTATGGAAAAATGGAGCGAAGCCTACATATGTAAGCTTAATGCTTTATCCCCATATGTGGCTTTCCCACTACTACAACTTTTTTCTTTCTTTCAACCTGTTGCCCCCAGGTGTTTATCCTTAAAACAATCCCAGTATAAGAAACACAAGGAATTTCTGACACGCTCCCTCTTTCCAGGAGCTTTTTTAAAAAAAATTATGGTGAATTAAAATGAATTAGACAAAGCCCGATCCTAACTGTGAAAACAAAATTTAATACTGTGGCTAAGCCTCGGAATGCTGGAGCAACAGTGTGCCTCTAAACCAAGTACAAAGTGTATTTTTGCTACACATGTAGAAATCAAATCTACCCGTATACCTTCATCAGTATGTTCTCCAGCCCATCTCATTTTAAAAGGCTGTAATAAACTTTTAATTACTCAGTAATTAATGCTTTCTGAGAGCTCTTCAAGTTAGCAATAGAGAGGGGACTGATAAGAACATTGCTCAGATTGGGAAGATTATGGTCATGAAAAGTGATTTAGATAGTATGCAAACAAATAAATGCATCATGCTGATAAAGATAAAACGGTGCCCTCAAGTTGCCCTCAAGAGACAACCATGCATTTTTTTAGGAATATGCATGTTATCACTAGAAGTCTCCTATTAGCCGACTTCATTCTTACTACAACTTTTCCTTCCATCCTTTAGGTTTCTTAAGACTCTTGACAGAAAGCAAAAGTAGCTGTTCTACACAACTGAAACAAGTGAGAAAGCAAGTGTTTAAGCCATTTCAAACAAAATAGTTCCTTATTTAAAACACACCACCTTCAACACTCGTGGAAATGATCATGGCCGGGCACAAGAGATCAATGAACTTTCATTAATTCTTGAATCTAACATAATTTTTAATCTTTTATACCTCTTTTACAGCAACACAGACCTGCTTTTGGGGGAGGTGGGGTTTGCAATTCCTCACATCTGGAGAACATCAAGCAAAGTCTGAGACTCTAATGAAACAACAGTTCAATTTGGCATTGCAGGATTTAATTAGAGATTAAATTAGGGATTTATCTGTCCCCACGAGTGCTCATTTTGATGAGTCTAATTCATTCAAGCTCTGCATGAAAACTTAGCCTCTTACTCTTAGGGCAGATTTTCTGTCTCTACTCACTATTTATGCTACCTCTACCTTGACAGCTGTTCTATTTTCACAGGAATGCCACCCAAATTGCTCTACTTCATCCCTGCGCTGGGTCTATTTCCCTGCTTCCTGCTCCAGAAACCACTTTCATTCCAACTGGTTTCACTTGACTTTTGAATCTCCATGCTCTTATGCAACATCCAGACTACTTGCAATCCACTTCTCATCTGTGTACAATTTATTTTTCTGAGTGTCTCTTGTCATCACGGTTAAGTATCTGCCACTTTCCATCTAGCTATGCTACTTCCTTCTAAAATATTTCCCAACCAGAGTTTGCTGGGTTTTTTTTGTCCTTACAGTTCTATATCCTTCTGGCTTTGTTCTCTGTGCCTCCAAGCCATTCCATCTCAGATGCCTTCAGGAAAACCTTCCATGAACCTCAGAATGGCCATCAGTGCCCTTTGCCTCCTCACTTGTTCCTTCACTTACCAATGCTCATGACTCTGCCAAAGACAGATGTGTTGTCCACTGTGCTGCAGTTCCATCGCCTCTGCCTGAATTGGAATTGGCACTCTTTGATGGCGTTCTTAGCCCCCTCACCAATGTACATCATGTGTTCCTGGTATAGTTGGCACAACTTTCTCTGGCCTGGGGACAGCCCTGGTAGCTGGCTACACACTGGTTGGGCTCCAATGATGTACATCTCGGGTCTCTGGATTGGATTCATAGCCAATGACCTGGAATGAGGAAGACATTGTCAAGAAATGCCTTTGGCAGTCACTTTTGAGTGGTAAGACTTTGTCTCTCAGCGGAACCAGGACATAAAGACATAGACCTTTCCAAACACCAACAGAATGGTCAGGAGTGAGGAAGCTAAGATTTCCGTATTTAAGGACAACCACATAAGTGCCTAACTCAGGGGTCCTCAACCTTGGCAACTTTAAGACTTGGGGACTTCAATTCCCAGAATTCCTCAGCCGGCTGAGGAATTCTGGGAGTTGAAGTCCCCAAGTCTTAAAGTTGCCAAGGTTGAGGACCCCTGGCCTAACTGGTTCATCTTTATTGAATCACATCAGCTTCACCACAAGATGGATAATTAAATAGAGCTTTGTCCTGGAACTAAGTAGCTGAATTAACTCTCAGCTAAGAATCTTTCACACAGGTTGAGGGCCTGTCATACCACTCAGGGAAAGCCGGCTTTGACTGTGAGCTTTGGGAAGCTTCTCCCCAGGCTACAGTCCAGCAGCCAGTGAATCTGCTCCAAAGCAAGTTACCACTAAACGGTTGCCTCTTATTTTGTAAGCGATTCCCTAGAAGATCAATAGGAAGGATAGAGGAGGTGGTGGCAGGGTGCTCCAAGAAGTGGAGAGGGGGGGAGAGAACAAGGTTTTGGGAGTGCCTCATTCTCCAGAGGGAAAGAAACGCACAATCAGTTATTTCATTTTATAAACGGCAATGCTTCAAGAGGGCAAGACACTGATTGGACCCCCGGCGTGCAGCTCGGATTTCTTTCAACTGAGGAAAGTAGAGAAAAGCACTTTTTAGAAAACCCTTCAAAGAGAGCCTCGTTTTTCTCC